GCAGTGTCCCTGTTTCCACCATTGGTCCTGGTCGTAATCATCTGGTTCGTCGTCAAAGCACATAAGCCATCACTCCCAGCACTGCCTGACCCCGTCGGTAACAGGACAGCAACGAACACAACTGGGAGGGCCGTAGCCGAAGCCCGCCACCCCTCCGCTTTGCGACGGTACCCAAATGTGACGTGGAGCCGTTCCTGAGTGCTGGGTCAGTCTGCCTCTTCTCGACTGTGTCACTTCCTTCCGGCTTAGTTGTGCTGGAGCCTCGTCGTCCTTTTGCTGACGTGCATGTCGATTACAGCACCTTGATCCCGTGCTGAGGCTCAGGCGAAGCTGAAGAGACGCAATACCATCCTGAAAAATAGACTGCAGCAGTGGCCTTCCATTGAAGTTCTTTCAGCGCAAAACCGTCGGAGATGGCTGGAGCAGCTGTTTGAGTTCTTGGTGTAAGGCCTGCCCACTGCCGTTGGACCAAAAGTCCATCATACCAAGATAAGCTACGCAGCGCCCGGCGCGCGACTCCTGCTTTTGACCGGAATCGGGAAGCGGCCGAAGCAGAACCCGTCGGCAGACATATGTCATGTCTCCGTCTGATCCGGAGCGGCTACAAAAGTCATTTCATTCGAACGCTCGCACGAGTAGTCTCGCGCCTTGGCGGGCATCGGGCTAAGTGACAACTGATGTTCATGAAGGGCCAGCTATGGGGCAGGTTTGGCATGTCGATACCGAACCAACCAAGCTAGACAAACAGCAAAACGAAAACCAGACGGGCCAAACTCGGCCAAGCATAGCAGCTAGATTCGGCCCCATAGCTGGCAGTCTTGCTCCGCAGCAGTCTGCCAAAAGCTTCGCAACACTTGCTTCACGGTGGTCCGAGGACACAACCCGTGGAGCGCAAAACTGCACCTGCGCGTCGGTCCGAGGACCAACTGAACGCGCAGTTGTTTGCAAAAGCAGAACTTGAGGGATATCACTCACAGAACTTGCGGGCTTTGCTCGGCTGCTGTGCTTGTTTGCCAGCAGAAAACAGCAAAGTACAAACCGTAAGGCTAACGACCCTAGGCAAACAGAAGTACGGCAGACCTCCATTCAAAGACTTACCTGCGCTGGGAGGCCACCGCTGCCTCAGAGGGCAATCTTTCCTTGCAGCAGCAGCAGCACCACCACCACCCCATGTCAACAAGAAACTTAAGTCTAAGACCAGGAGGCTACCTCACCAGTCTTGGGTCTGTGACAGGCTAGGGACTGTGTCTCGCCCGAACTGCAAGCAGCTCGAACCACCCGCCGCGCGGAAGGCGGGAACCCTCACGCCAAGGAGCGAAGACAATTTGTTTAACAAGATTGGTGCTCCCCGGATTTGGGACCGGGCCAGCTTCAAGTTGAGACTGCAAGTGGGCTTGCGTGTATCACCACGAAATCAAGAATGCTTCACCGGAGGCTACCTCACGGGAGCAGAAACGTTACCATGCGCAGCCTGATCTACAGAAAATGTGTGGTTGAAGAGCCCGGGAACTGTTCGGATCTCAAAAGTTGGGCCCTCCACAGGCTTTCCTGTGGTGATTCGACGGCTACAAGCTCGCGGCCGATTGAGCTGGTAGCGCTTGAGCGGCAACAACAACAACAACAACAAAAGCAAAAAAAAAACGACAACAATCATTCCAGAAGAACCAACCCATGTTCCGCTGTGCTCCTTGGCGTAGGTGAAGAGCTCGTCGTCATCCATCATCTGCACCATGCGCATCTCCTGAAAAGGCCAAGCATGGTTCAGTCCTCTCATAGCTACGCCATTCTCTGCAAGTCTGTGCTTCTCTTCTCCTGTTGCGTTTCCCAAAAGCTCATACTTTCCCTTCTCTTTCATCTCTTCACCTTCGACTTCAAAGCGTTGACCGAGTTGGCCGGGGTGGGGAAGTCTCTCCAGCCGCCAGCGAAAGCATCGCGGTTTGCCGCAAAAAGAGCTCCACAGCTTGTCAGTTGCCTGTTCTCCGCAGTTACAGCTCTAACACCTCCAGTTCGGATACATGACTTCTCGAGAGGTGTGTCGGACAGAACATGTGCCAAAATTAGTGCTGTGCTACAGATCTGTCAACCCGAGTCCTCTTAATCGAACAAGCTACGGAGCAGCAATAGCTGAGAATTCCAAGGCCCTGCCACACGGAGACGTTTTCGGGATTGCATCCGCACACGTCCATGCATTGAGACGAAAACAGGGGGTCTGCGAAGAGGGGCTTCGGAGCCATCACGGGTTGAAATCGGCAATCCTCTCTGTCAGCAACTCTTCAAGCTTCTCGGGTCGGATCGTGTCAAGAAGAGTTGTCTCCTTTACTGCTCCATCTGTCGGATGCAGCTTGGGGCCAGTGGCTGTGAACGAAGTTGCTGTGCATCGAGCCTTTGAGCGCGGGTGGCGGTTCTTCTCCCGTGACAGTGTTGCCCGAAATGCATCGGAAAGGTTCGGTCCATGGCTTCCGCTGCTGACACTCAATACCCTTGCCAATGCTGACAACAACAAAACTATCCGAAATTATTCAAGACTCCCGTAAATTTTCCCGGTCACTGTTCTTCAGGAAGATGAAAGTGATCTTTTTGATGGGCTTTTTTGTTTGCATCTTTGACAAATCCATGGCACAAGAAATAACATACATAGGTCGTAGCATGAACCAGGTCTTGGGCTTTTTTTAGCATGGTGTCCTTGTGCAGCGTGCGGATGTGGCGCACCGCCTCCACGACGTCGCCGGTTCCGGCCTCGCCCTTCGTGCGGATCATGCTGGCACCTGAAGCCGCTCCGATGCAGTCGCCTCTGCACGCCCCCGAAACCCCCAAACCCCACGCAACCTTCGGAGATGCGACGCAGCGCCTCGCCCAAGTTTCGGCAGCCGCACCTCAGGCTTTCCGAGCCTCTCACGCGAAAAAGCCCGGATGCTTGGTGCCCTGCACGAATGGCACCTTGAACCTCAGTGTGAGATGTGCCAGATTTGGAAACAAAAGAGGGTCCCAATCTTCTCAACAAGGTCTGACGAAGTTCAATTGAGACTTTGGAAATTGTCGATGCACTCCTCCAACCAAAAACCTTGCGCCGCAGGTCGGCATCCTCCACAATGCAAACCCCATTTCTCTCGTCGATAAGTGTCACGAGTGCACCTGTTGAACTCGAAGCTTACGAGCTTTGAGACTCTGTCGTGACGGAGCGTTAAAGCTTCAGACGTCTCACGAACAAAGAGATCGGAGTTCGAATGATGGAATAGTTCGAGATTCAAAAGCGAGCAGGTTGAATGCCTGGAGCTGCCACAGCGATGCGCGACGTGGGCGCATCCACGTGATACCCCCAAAGATCGCCGGTGTGCGAAGACGAAGCTTGAAGGATCCGAGATCAAAGGTTCAAAGCTCGAAAGATTGAATGTGTGGAAGATAGGAAGTTCGTAGGTTCTGAGAGTTTGCAGTTCGAACTTACAATCTTTAAGTGCTTCAGATATTGAATGCCGTGGAGCTTGAGAACCCGAACGCTTCCGAGCTTAAGAGATTCTTGGTTTACAGTATGGGAAACATGAACTTTTGAGAAGATGCAATGTACAATTTGGAGTGGAGGCAGCTGGCAAACATAGATTGCGGTGTTCTACATAGGCTCGATAATGGTGAGGTAAGGGCCTGCGCTGCTTCAAGTTCGAAAACTGAAGCCGAACACACCACAGGATCAAAACCAGACAATGCGAACACAGTGCCGGCACACAGGAGGCAGCGCGTAGGTGTTTTTCAAGCTGGGGGTCTGACTGGACACTGTGTGTAGATTTTCTTGGGCACCCTCTGCCGGATTTGTCCGGGTGTTGACTAACTTAGCCTACATCCACCCGACTGGACGCAAGGCCTTTAGCACCATTGTTCATCCGTTCTGCCCCTCAAACTTTCAGAATCGGAACTCGGCGGACCCTCCAACCTTCGAACTCGGGCACGCTTCACGCTTCCACGAAGCGCACTTCGTTAAGCTTGGAGCGCTCTTTGACGGCCGACCGAAATCGGCCGTGGCTAAAGTTTGGAGACTCTGGAGCCGCCGCTCGAGCTCAAAAGCTTGACATATAAAGCTCGACATCGAAATCTGACGCCCTCCCGCACGTAACTCCTTCAAACTTTTCAAAAAACGTAGCCTTCGATTATTCAAACTCGCAAACCTGCAGGAGACCATTGCGGCCGGCTGAATCAATGCAGCATTCGACACTTCGATTCGATTGCTGGGCACGCTGAGTCGAGAGCTTCGTCTTGTTGACGTGGTTGCCCTCCGAATTCGCTCAAACGATCGACGGGTCAACAGTCAAATAGCAGTTCGGGTCAAAGAAGATCCCTCAGATGGCCTCGTCGGCGACAGTGAGGACTTCGCTCTCGTCAATGCAATCGACACCTATTTGCTGCAGGACCTGCAACGCCAGCGGCCAAGCCCTTCATGCAACTGTGACCTTCCCAGAACAAGATCTCCCCGTGCAGAAGAGGCCTGGGATTCGACAAAGTGGCCAATCCTGCATTTGGCCATCACCTCGCACCACTGCTGGGATACAAGCAGAAAATCAGCAGCTGAAAATGCAATCCCGCAGCGGCTTCCGCAATGAGTGCCCGGCAGGGATAGACACGGAGTTGACGATTTCCTTTTTCATGAAACATTCGATGCTTCCGCTGTGCAATCACAGGCTCTGCTGTCCTTGATCATCTTCGGATCTGACATGCGGGCAACGCCCTGGGTGCCAGCTCTGTGCAACATGTCACGATTCCGGCCCCTCGTGGCACCCCTTCCCTGGAACCTTGCTCTGGCGGATGTCTGCTGGGATGCCTCGGACAACCGCTACTGCTGGGCACAAGGGCTCTAAGACAAGTTTCAGCGCAAGCCGAGCCACGTTCCAAAGCCATGACGGCACAAGCTCCTGCTTCTTCTGCTATCTTTGCCTGCTCCTTGTTCATGACGTCCATGATCACCTCGAAAGTGCCCTTGACTGGAAATCACCTGCCACCAGCGACGTGCGAAGCTGAGCTCCAAGCGCCACCCTTCAGCATGGCCGGCAATCCTTTCTTGACCTGACGGACTGATTTGGCACTGTCAGGACCATCACAGGCTCTGCTTCGGCTTCGCAAGAACAGAACAGTGCTGCGCATGCGACCGCAACAGACAGAAGCTTGGGTATCCGTTCGAAGGTCATACATTCGTGCATTCCCCAATGCACAGACCTGAGAGCCATGCACGCTCGGTGCCCTCAGCCACATTGCGTGGAACGTCGGTCATGGTGGCCTGCACTTTATGCCGCGGTGACTTCAACGGCCGTGGGGGAACACACATTTCAGCTGTGCATCCGAGTTGCAGTGCTGCACTGGCAAAGGTGACGAGTTCGCAGTTCCGACTGAGCCGTGTCCAATTCGATATCATGGAGCTTGCACACCTTGCGCCCTTTGCACGAAGTTTGTCTTGTAGCGGCAGCCCACCAACATGTATTGTCACTCACGCAAACATGCTGAAATCATGCGCATCTGCCAAATGGCAAGCGTTTGCTTGACCTGGCGGCTGGCGGTGAAACGAAAGTGGCCTGCTGTGTAAAAAACAGCCTTGCTCCCATGCTGTCACTTTGGACGTTTCGCTGCAAATTCGGCACCATGTGGCGGCAGCTACCTTTTCTGAGGATACACCTTCAGAGCACCTTCGAAAACGATTGTGCGCCGACCTGAGTTCCGCTCACAAATTTCAAGATGCTGCCGAAGCCGAAAGCTTGCTGAACCTCTTTGAACGTCTGGAATCATCTGCAACATCTCGCGATCTATCGCTGTCATGAGTCATGTCCATTGAGGCCTCCACAAACACCGCATATTCTGGAAGGGTCCTTAAAGGGGATAACAGCTGTTGGACTCTGAAGCCGACTCTTCATCGAGGAAGCCTCGTAACCGACGTCTAGTAAGACAGAGGAAACTCAAATCTGGGGCCTGCGAGACCAGCGGGTTCAGCGTCGGCAAGTGCGGCGCGACGGACTCCCCCAACTGCGTACCATTCACAGGCTTCAACGAAAACATCTGCCAGCCGTCTGTGGCCTACCCAACACACAACTACAGCATCTCTTCGTGCCGACCGTGGCCTCGACTTCCTTCTGGAGCATGTCACGCTGACGAGTGATTTCGTCGATCTGTACAGAAGGCACAGGCACCCAAGCGGAGGGAGCTAACTGCTGCTTTTTCCAGGCCTTCGCCTGGAAGTCGGCTTTTACTTTGGCAAGCTCTGTGGTCTTGAAGTCCTCGAGCTCCTCTGTTGCCATCGGCGGTATTGTGACTAAAGGAGCCCTCTCTTCAGGCCTGAGCACACTTCTGCTTGATCTCCCGAACGGCATGGTGGCATTCCGTCTTCACCTTTCATCCCGGCAGAGAGATTCCTGATCCTCCAGAGCCTTTTGCTCAGCTCGCCTTCACCAGCTCGGTGTCCAGATCTCTGGCAAAGGTAAGAAGTTCCTCAGAAAAGTGGCAGGAGACTGGACAGACTCTGCAAGCACCTCTTGACAGTGACTTCGCCAGAGGTCTTGAGCATCGCGCATCTCGCTCTTTCTCGACATGTCTGCGCAACCGCCGCTCTGCTGGCAGAACACCTTGACAACAGACAGCTAGTAGGCCAATAAGCAGCGTTATAATTATAGCATCCATGATACCAGATGCAACCACAATCTCATGCAAGGCGAACACAGGTGGCACCTATTTCGGAAGCTGGCTTCATACCTGCCGTGGGAGTGGACCATGTGCTTTCACCAGCAAACGTCTGCAAAGGAGATGCTGCATCCCTTACCTGGCTCCTCCTCTGCATCAGGCTCATTTCCAGGGCCCTCAAGCTCAAGCAGGCCTCGGATGGAAAGACTGTGAAACTTTGCGGTTGCTGCAGGCGGTGTGGCTGAGCAGAGGGCGCTTCAGCCGTGCATCTGCCGTAGTCTCTGCAGCCAGCAGCAGATCCAGCAACTCTGCCTGGAACAGCCCTCGAGCATCTCAAAAGAAACTGTCGGGCTCTGTTACTGAGCGAAGTTGCCTCTCGACGGCCGCTTTCCTGGAGAAGTCGCCGCTGAGAGGGCCTTGCTGGCCCATCACTCTCGAGGGGGACCACGTCCTGCAACTCCGATCTGCTCCGGGCTGCTGCGAGCTGCTGCGAGCTGCGCTCTGGTCGCAAACTCTCCGATCCTCCAGACTCCTCGCGTCTGCCCGGAGCTGCTGCGCATCCGAGCGGGCCAGGAGCAGAGCCATCTCACCCTGAGCGAACGGGCAGTGCCGTGAGCAGGCAACGGGGCGTCAACCTGGGGCCCCAACCTCACGAAGCTGAGCACCCAGCCTGGCATCCATGCTTGTGAGCCAGAAAAGACACAGGATCCGGATTCGAGCCTGCGCAGCTCTGCTTTCAGCTTGGCCACCTTCAGCATTCTCTGAGACCACCAGAGTCACCAGAGATGATCAGAGCAAGTCGAAGGCAGGCAGCCCACCTCGTCCCGTAGTTCTGCCAGCTGCTTGGACATTCGTTTCTTGTCCTTTGGCGCAGCTTGGAGAATCCGTGCGCCTCCAGCCTCCCCCGTAGAACGTCGTGGTCTTGGCAACTGGCGTCTTCCAGCTCCTCCACCTGCTGGCACGGAGCTGACTGGCAGTCAAAGAGAGACATGAACCGTGACCCGGACCTTGTCCGTGAGGCGATGCTTCTCTAGAGTCAGGACCTTGCAAAGAGCATGGTTTCGGCTCATCAGATCCGCACGATTCCACACCACGCCCACAGCACAACCACGCCTGCAGCTTCTTGGCCTGCATCGGGAAATCAGAGAGCCACGTGAAACGATGTCAAACGAAAACGACGAAACGCAAGAAGAACTTCTTGCATGGCGCTCGTCGACAGGAAGGAGACCGGGGCCGGTAGGCCGAAGACCAAGGCTCACCATATCTCACCATGCTCACCGGGCCCGTAACGGGAGACTCACAGCCGCAGAGCTTCCCCGCTCCTCGTTTTGGGCCCACTGCCTCATTTGGGCTCTTCAGAGCCCATGGCGCTTGTTGGGGAATCAGCCACTGGCCACTGCGATATGTCATGGCAAATCCCCGCATCCTGTCGAAGCAACCCAAAATCAAACAAAGCGAGGCATGAGTGGCAGTCATGGATAACACGGTTCCTTTGCCGCCGACTGCTATCGGCATACCAGCTGCGAAGCAGTCAGTCGTAAAAAAGCATTAGGACCCGACAAGTGCGGAGGCCTCACGGTCATTCATGGTGAGCATGAAGTTTGAGGGGTGAAATGGAGGATCATTCGGGTGCATTCCCCTTGTTGTGGTGGTGTTTTAGTCCACCTTGTCAATGGTATTTCTGCATTTTCATTGAAGTGCTGTTAGCTACCTCAGGCCAACTCGCCACTTTCCAGGATTATGCCCAACATGTCCCCACGACAGCGCCGCGCCCTCTGCTCGGGTGAAGCCAGCCTAGTGCTTCGGGACTTCTCAAGCTCCGCAAACCTTAAAGCTTCGGTCAAGGTGTCCAGTCAACCAAAGCCCACAGCTCGGCCCAATTCCGGCCGCCGCCCGTGCAGCATGTATGTCCTTTGCATAGGGAGGGGGAAACCCAGTAGGCCCCCTCTTGGCTGCAAAAGAGTAGATGTGTTGAATGCTTGTAGACGCTATGAATCGAAAACCCCGCAAATACCGATGGATGTGATGTGACCATCTCTGTTTGCATAATAGCACCCCCCCTCCGGTTCTTGGGGCATCAAGCCTCTGCCCGACCCTGTACTTCACCAAGCGCCTCAACCGGGCCAAAGTGGGCTCAAAATTCCCTCAAGTGTTGCGAGTTTGGCCCAAGTTTGCCTCGGGGAGTCGCACGCTTGGCTTGTCGTGGAACAGATCAACCCTCAGAGTCTACTTCGCAAGTTAGCACATGCCTCCAGTACCTGCGAGCACGGAGTATCGCCTCTTATTAGATATTGCGGTTCCAGGCTAAACAAAACAGAGCACTCCCAGAGAGACCAGCACGGCACAGCACCCCTCCCTTTTTCGCCTGGTCCTCGGCCGTGCCCTGCGACTCCTCCAGCTCCGCCATCGCACGCTCGTGGGCTGCCAGGAACCTGCGATTGGCAGCGGCCGCAACTTGGAAAGCTTCCGGAAGCTGAGAGCCCCGGGCTTCTCGTAGAGGCGCTTATACTCATCCCGGTCGGCTTCCAGAGCACTGCGCCTCGTGAGATCCCGAGACGCCACAGTGCCATGTCAGAAGTTCTGCCGTGCTTTGAGCTTCGGGCTGCTCCTCCCACTGCCGAGCCGCTTCCTCCAGGTCTTCCTGGGTCGCCACCATCTTCGCCTCCAGGTCGTTGACCTGACAGAGGAGATTTCGGCGCAGCGATGACGAAGCCGTAACCCATCTTCTGGGGAATGGGCCCGTGTGACCAGAACACGATTCCGGCCTCACAACGAGAAACAGACACTTCTGGGTGCAGCTTATGTCACATATGCGTGCTTTCTCTTAGGCTTCTGAATGGCATCTCCTGCGCTTTGTTGGCGCATGTGGGCATTTTAATCTTCGCACAGATTGGCACCTTCTTCTCTTTGTCTTTATCATGTCCCTAGCCCAGAAAATGATAGAGACGAGATTCCTTTCTGCTCCGGCAAGCATCCAGTCCGAAAAGCAGACAAACAGGTGTGGCACACTGTCAAGGTCATGAAAGTTCAAAACAAAGATAGAGATGGAAGCAGACGAACGACATGTGCAACGCGTGCCACGGATGTGCCTTCGAGCTCAACTGCCCGAGAACGTTCGCATTGATATCTCCACGAGACAAGTATGTCGTCCTCACAGCTGATGAACGACGAAAGCATTCCAGCTGCACATGGACATTCCGCTTGCTCGTCCTTCGTCTTCTGCCGGATTGCATAGGACTGGTTGTTGATGGTACGCACCAAGTACTCCTGCAAGTTGATTACTGTCACTGATTTTGCACATGTAACTTTCTCGGTACATATGCAACACCCAAGTGGCATGATGGATTTGTCTACACCTACCTCCAGCCTCCTGTCAACCCCCAGTACTATCTCAACGAGACTGCGAGCTACTTTCCAGTCAATAAGCCGCGACTCTCTCAAGGAGCATGCAGCACTAGATGCACATCTGACACCTATTCCCTGACATGCACAACACAGGCAAGCGTATAAGGGACTCTTTTTGTTGATCAGTGCGGTATGTCAGCGGCGATTTTGCCATGATGGGCCTCAGCCAATGGAGTGGCTTGCATCAGCAACATGTATTCGTCTGCACTATAAGTTCAAAGCCGAGGCCTCTTGCGATTGCGACACGACTGGATGATCAGTGTTTGTCCATCCCAGATGTCGCCATCGCCACAATACAGGAACAACAGAGTAAAAAAAAACGTGGTATGAACCTGCAACAAGATACCTATACCCTTGGCCAACACACCTGTCCACAAAATCCGAACCAGTGGAGCACCTGAGGTGGCTTCCACAAGTGTGGCGTCGCTCAGCGATCGCCATGGAGCGCCCAGCGTGTACCGTGGTGCTTCAGCGACCAACTTCACTTTCTCCACGCAAAGCTGCAAGGCAAAAGCTACGACACACATGACCCGGGCACCATTGCTTGTTCGTTACACCACGGCTGGGTTGCGCCGATGCGCCTGCTGCAGATTTTAGCAGCAGCGCTGGCAAGGATTCGGGCGTCAATCTCCGCCGTAGCAGCAGGGGCACGGCGACAACTGCTTTAAGATCAGCTATGCACAGGGTGTTATGGAGTGTGCACAACTGAGAGAAAACGGCGACTCCTCCTGCACGACTCTAGACCAGCTGTAAACAAACAGCTCGTGAGCCCCCTGAAGCAGCCCATAACAAGACTATCGACTTCATGCGTTCAAGTATGCTTCACCGTGCTCCAGCGATTCCTCCGCCATATCTCTACAGATGCTACAGCCCTTGCCGAAGGGGCAGGGCCATGATGCTTCTCGACCGTCTCTACCTTTCAAAGCCAGCGACAAGCCGTCACGAAACGAACCGCTCTGTCCCTTGTAACCATGGCTGTTTTATGTGGTGTATGTGCACTAAAGCATGCGCCACGCGTAACTGCGCAGCACAGCTCCGACTCAGAAAGGGTCTCAGCGCAGTTTGCATCCAGAATACAGCTTGCAGTTGCTTTAGGTGAAGAGGAGAGTTTCAAATGCGTGGAGCCAGCACACTTCCTTCACCATTCCAGGCAAGTGCTAAGATTCTGCTGGTACTTGCACATGATATCTCCACTGCCTAGACTCTTGGAGGTGCGCCGCAGAGTTAAAAGTTATGAAGTCCTTACAAAAGCAGCCCAAAACGAAGGCCGCCACGCAGCAACGTCTGTGGGAAATTTAAGGGAATCTGCTCCATCTGGAGACTTCCCGGAGGCGCACGCGGAGGCGCCCGAAAAATCGGAAGAAACGCAGTTTACGCACAGGGCCAGCACAAGGAGCCCATGCTTCCTTGCTTCGGATGTTTCCGGGGAATTCATGAAGCATTGAACAAAACTCTGTCGAGCTTGGCAAGGACTCCCTGAGCTAGGCGAGGACAGCAGGATTGCGAAGTCCGCACCGTGAAGAGCTTCACAACGTCCTCCGGGCAGAGGCGATGTCTCTCTTCGGAAGCCGACATCAACAACCCGGTACTTTGACAATTCGGCACACATCCATGCAACGAAGGCATGGCGCGATATGAATGTATACATCATTCTTAGCAGGATATGACACTTTGCCTGATGCTCCAAGGTCCTGCGTTTACCGTGGGAGGATATCTACGTACGTTGATCTGCCCTGCATGAGAACTTTGATTATGTCCGCTGTAACTCTCACATTTCTCGGATAATGCCATCGTGCCTGGCATCGGCACGAGGCGCCCATGAACACACCTGCTTTGTGGAAGGTACACCGTCCAACCAACCGTTTTCTTAGACACTCGCAGGTTCGACAGCAGCATATCGAGTTTGGAATTCTTACTGATAAGCTCGGAGACTCGAGATAGCTGACAGCACGTGACGAAAAGGAGCCTGCTGCACTTTCTGCAGCATGGGCCTTAGAAGTCTTAACACCCAGACTGACAATACTCACTGCGATCTGATGTTTGCATGCATCGGTGAGTTCAGTCGAGGAATACGAAGAACGGCCATAAGCTTCAGGTGCCCACAAGAATGCTGCCATGACACAAGGCAAATTGCTGGCGTGCCGCAGCAGCAGCCTCGAGCAAAAGTCTAACACACCGAATTTTGCCTAATTAACGTCTTTCGAACCCTCGCGGTCCTGAGCTGTAGCTTCGATAGGAGGAGGCTGGCCATTCAGCAAGGCAAGCACGGCTGTCCTTGTGCGACGAGGGCATGTCGTGTTGGTGGGTGTGCTCTGGAAAAATGTCGGGGCACTCCATTGGTGGCACAGCTCCCTTGCGCGGCCAGAACCAGGCCTTCCTTAGCGTCGGCAGAGCCCTGCAGCTTTGTGCTGGGCGACCTATGAGGCCACTTGAATGAGTTCTCAACGCGTGCTGCTTTTCTTCTCCACTACTCCTCTCTACATGCTCAGGATTGGATTGCCATCGATCCTTTCCTGGGCTAGCGGCTAGCGGTTAGCATTCCGCTTGTCAAGTTTCCTGTTTCGGCTTCAAAATATTCTGCCAGTCTTTCATGAATGAGATTCTGTTGGCGCTTTGCCAGTTTGGTTCAGAGTGCGAACATGTCTGAGCAGCACTGGTGTCAGGACATGTGGAGGGTGCTGGCTATGGTGCTGATGCCACAACCTCAAAGCAAGAACCTGCTGGACAACTGCTGCGCCTTTCATTGCGAAGTGCTGCCGAGCTTCCCCCGGTCTTGCCAAGACATGAGGCCAGGCTGGAGCCATGCGGCTCCCTTGGACTTCGACAGCCTTGGCCGAAAGTGCCGACAGAAACTTTCAATGTGAAATCCCGGGGCGGGCCTGCTTGCTGCACTCTTTGCTCGCCTTGCTTCGAAGCCAAAAAAAAAAACTCTGCGTGAAAATCACGGAATCACGGAGAGCCCTGGCCCTGGCCCTGGCCCTGGCCCTGGCCCCGGCCTTTTGCTGCGTGACCCACACGGGCTCTGTCCCTGGCACCGGCCCGGATCGGATACGACAGGTTAAAGAACCCCAGCCTCGGCCTCGGGGAGGGTGAGCTCGCCTCCTGGCATGCGGGATCATGCGGGATCATGCATGTACCGAATGCGTAAGAGTGGCTGCCTCGTGTGTCATCGTCTTCTCCGCCGCGCTTACACACTGTCCTTGAGAAGCACAAAACCCTTCCACAACGAAACAAGCCCCAACATCTCCTGAAATGCTTATACCAGCATTCGCACGATCGCCAAGTAACGATTTGTAGACCGCGAGGTATGCACGCAAGACTGGATCGTCAACGACAGATCGTGGCACATCTGCCTTCCAGCTCTGTCGCAGCAAACTGTGGAGCCCAAGCGTAGTAGTAGCCTGCTCCTTAAGCATGCCTCCATCTCAGCCATGGCAGCTAGCAGGTTCTCCGGAAGAGCCGCAGCCTCCTGCAAGCTGCCACGGTGCCAGTGAAAATTCGAACAAAACATGCCAAAACCATCATCATCATCATCATCATCATCAGATCCTTGGAGAAGGCCCAGTCAGAGGCAGACGCCGTGCACCTGACGTGGACGTCGTTTATAGAAGTCCTTCGATGTGACTTTTGGCAGAGCTTCCTTGTCATGTGTCTCCCACGATGCTTTGCTGAGCCGCGGGCATGTCCTCTGCCTCGCTCGGCTTGAACCGGCTACGACGGGAGGAGCTGGCCCGCACACCTGCACGCCAAGACACATCAAAAGATTATGCTGTGCTGGTCCGTCGCGCCTTTCTTGGGCTTTGGCGGCTGTGGTTCGGCACTGACACGCGGACGCCAATCTCGAGATGATCCTTTTCTAATCGTGACCGGCCCAGAACAATGATGTGCTGAAGTTATCGCAGGCTGTCCTTGTGGAGCCAGACTGGTCTGCCCACTGACCTGGCTGGACCAGTATGCACAGATGTACCCTGGTAGCTCAAATTCGCAGGCTTGCTCCGTCAAGCTGAGGGTGCGGCATCTCGCACGAAGCTTTGCTGGTGCTGGGTCCGCAGCTCCTGCTGCACCTGCCTCTGGCGCTGAAGGTTTTCTTGATGCCTCCCACTGCTCAGATCACGAGGGCAACGCATGGCAGCGAATATCACCACGTCTTAAGCTAGAACCTAGTTTTCAGGATCTGCAAGTAGAAGGATGGGCCACTTGCCTTTGCTGTAGCAGCTCCACATCTCGCTTTCGCTCCTAGAAACATCTCACAAGAAAGGCAAAAGGGCAGTGAGACACTCATCCCTCGCCTCCTCGACGTCGTAGGGCCGGAGCTTGGCCTGGGCCTTCTCCTTCTTTGGCTGCGGCAGGGCCAGTTCTGCCAGCAAGGTCTGCGGAGAGGGTGGCGCCGTCCAAGGCTCCTGCAGTGAAAGGAAGGTTTCATCTTGCACTTCTGCTGCCAATGCCGAAGCAGGCTCCATCTGCGCCAGAGGGACGTGACTTGGGCCCGTCCCCTGAGCACGCGTTCTTTGAAGGCTTGGCGCGGTTTGGGGCGGCATGGGGCGGCTTGGCTTTTGACGTTTAAAGCAGAGCACAGAGGAGTCCAACAGCCACCCCCTGTGCCATAGGCAAGAAGTGCCTTCAACTTCGGAGCTGGCCGCTTCTTCGTCGGGGCCACGGTGTCCGGCTTCATAGGACTTCGACCGCTGCCCGCGCCCCCTCGCCTGCTCTCGCGACCGTGCACCGAGATGCACCGAGCGGCACCGCAGCCCCTACATGTTTCATCTAAGGCACGGCGACGCATTCGCAGGATCTTCGCCATCGGAAACCAAGCCTGACACTTGATGCCGGTGAAAAGGCTCTGAGTCCAGCAACCCCATGCCCTATGCCCTGGCGGCGGCTGCGCCTTCGAGGTTCTCGACAGTCGCCTGGGCAGCCGCAGCCTGAGCACAGTCAGAGATCGGAAGGGTGGCGATTGAAGCGAGTCCGAACACGCTGCAAGGGGCAAGGTGGCTTGCCGCTTCCACCACAGATGAATGCACCTGCGGGAGACAGAGATTGGCTGGAAGTGCAAGTCATGCTCTGGCTCCGTGTGAAACACGGCATCTTCAACGGTGATCAGCCTTCTCGACTGTGCTCCGCACAGACGCCTGCGTGCCTGAGGGCGCTTCCCACTCAGCTTCACCGGGAATGCCGCCTTGGTACTGGGCCTTGCTGACGAACCACATCGGAGGCCTTCAAGGGATCGAGGCTAGCAGCCACATGCTATGCTGATGCACATGCGCCTGCGAAACGAACTGCTTCACTGCGTATCGTGCACAAAGAGCAGCAACCTGGCGCTCATCACCTGCAGCTGATCTGGGATGCACAGAATCATTGCTGATGTCAGGAGCCTTCAGCGAGTGCTTCTTCAAAAGCCTTGACGCAGCAGCACAACAAAAAGAGCAGGGTTTTCCTCAAAAGCAACAAAAGGAGCGCCGCTCTCAGAGCCGGCCTTACCCTCGTGCCGCTTCACAAACTCGGGCACTCGATCCCGTTCCGCCTTTTCTTGACTTTCGCCTCCCAGCTCGCTACATGACGTGAAACAGAACTTCGCTCTGATCGGCTGGCCTTGCCGAACCGCTTCCTTCGCCTCCCAGCTAGACCGAGTAAACCAGACAGTCGACTGTTCAGCGACCATCCGTCCAGCCTTTTCGACGTACCGGGCGACTGCCACGCGAGCACAAGCCGACGCCACCTTCCCCTCCGCGCCTGGCTCGGGAACTGATGGCTTCACGCAGCACACGGGACTGGCAGAGGTCCGCCGTCAGTTCCCGCCTTCCCTTCTGGCAGCCTCGGAAGCCTGAACACGGTAGACCGATCGCACAAACGCTACCCGCAGCTACCTGGCAGCTACCTGATGCCGATCCTTGGCTGTCCAGCTGGCCACGGCGACCCGAGCACAAGCAGCAGCTTCCTCGCGTCCAGGTCCTCTCACGCTTTGCACAAACTGCCACGCTGTGCGACGTTGTCGGTTCCGGACCTTGAGAGCGAGCCAGCTTCGCCGCCTTGACCTCCAGAGATGCCTGCGAGGACGACAGCGGCAGCGGCAGCGGCAGCAGCAAGCAGCAGCAAGCAGCGATGACATGGACATGCCTTCTCCAGGTAGCGAGCAACAGCCACTCGAGCACATGCAGCTGCAACTTCCCGTTCATGCTTACCTTCCGGGCAAACATGCTTCCGATGAGAAACCACGGTGCCCCAAACCCGCAAATCACATTGGCTGCCTGAGGATGCTTGCAGAGGTTCTTGGGCCTTGGCCTCGCAGACCAACATCTTCGAATCTTGACTACGTCTGCATACTTCAGCAACAGACATCTACTCCTTTCGCCCCTGCCTTCTCCACGAAGCCCTTAACTGCTTCACGGGCACACAGCGCTGCGACATCTCGCGCCGTACCTTCACCAGTCGAGCATGTCCAAATCAAACACGACGGCATCAGTCAGACATAGAAGAAACACAAGCAAGAAATGGGCGCCGTCGATGGCCGCCGCAGCAAAGGCCTCGCAAGAAAACACAAGCACTTTCGGTGAGGGGCAGTGTGCATTGAAGCAAAGAGCGCCTTGCGCATGAGACCATTCACGTATTGATGTGCAGCTTCTTCAGCAGCCTGGCGTCCAGAGATCACCTTACGCACCAACATGCGAGCTCATGCCACGGAACAGGTGCTCCATGTCCACCCCGAACTTATCTTCCTTGACTAAATCGATCTGAGTGGCTCTCTCCAAAAGATTCTGGACGTATGCAGATGTAGCTGGCTGAACGGGCGCCATCGGAAGACTCCAGAGACAACTTCTGAATGTGTCTCCGTGAAAAGCGAGCAGAATCTGGAACATCCTGTCAGAGCCTTGCGGTGACGGCATGACACTACTTGTTGCTGTCTTCATAGGCCAAGTCGATCTTCATGTCTGGACTGCAAGGAGCTGAAGCACAGCACGCACTGTTAGCCAGAATGGAATGTGCTAAGCTGCAGGGAATGCAGGAATGCCACTCCAGGGACGACACACGAAGATGGCAGAAGCGCGGCACTCAGCTCTACTAACGACTCCTGGCGCTTGATCTGCTGCCGGACCTGGCATCCGGACGGCATCACCACATCCTCCATGCTGAGTCTGTGCCTTGTACTCGTGGAATTCGGCTTTCGCAGCCTTCGTCTCCTCGCGCGATTGTCGCAGCGCCTTAACGCAGGATGAGGCTTATCTTCAACTCTTTTCTCAAAGTACCCACGGCATGTGCAGCGCATACCAGAGCATGTGCTGCCGAGTACATCCAAGCTTCTTGACGTGGCAAAAGCGGTTCACGATATGGCACAAGTTTTTTTTTCTGCACCACAAAGCATCTTTTGCTCGGGGTGCGCAGCTATCTACCTGAAAGCAAAACGAAGAAGCAGGAGTCAGATGTGCCACAGTTCGCTGGTCACACTTTAAAGCACCCACGATATGACATCCCTGCAGCTGGGATGCAGGAACGCTCGCCAGCGCTGCCTGGGAGCAGCCTCTGCAAGAAGCTGAACAATCCAAAGTCTCCGATGTAAGATGTCAACACGTCCAGCCCTTTGAGGCACCGACGGCCGTCCTTGATGGCCTGCCGTGCAAGGTTGACTCTCGCATCAGATGGATTCACGAATCTTTCCCAGCTATCGTTTTGCCTCAGCAAGGCCACTGCACTTTGCAGAGTGCACGCTGTCCGGCCACTGGTCAGCGGTCCACCCTGGGACAGGTACCAAGAGAGTCCAAACGATAAAGAAGACCTTCTTGATTTCATGCAAGGTTCATAGCCCAATCCCGACAGCAGATTGTCATCCTCCTCCTTCACAGCATTTACATCCTGTCAAGCAGGTTTCAGAAAAAGCTCCGAAAACTTCATCGTCATTGCAATGACGCGCTCAGCGGTCCGTTTTGTACAATTGTCCACATTGCTGCTCAACTCCCTCACCGTCGAAACAGCGGATAAGCTCGGTGCTTCTTCCTGTGGTCGCAGGACAGTCAACAGGAACAAACGTCACGCAGCACTAAAACCCGTAGACACATGGCCTTTGCCGAGCACCTGCCAGACAGCAAGGCTCAGCAGTTGGGGAGATACATGCGTTGAGCACAGCAACAACGAGTCCAAAACCAAGTGCCCGGCTGTGTGATCCGTTTGAACGGTGACATTGTCGGTGCCTTCGACGCCCTGTCGTCTCCATGGTGGAGCAGGTGCGCCTTTCAAAGACGACGATGGACGTGCAACATACCAAGGTACACTTGCTGCAGCACTGTGGAATGACCTTCGATGGGGTAGGGTGGACCGTTCCCGTAGTCACCAGCCCTCAGATGCGGAAGTTCCGACTGGCAAACTGTTCGGATTCGGAGCACTTCGACTGTAGCAGCGGCTGCAGCACGGCCAACACCACTAGGGCCGCAGCATAGCTGCACAGCGAAGCACAGCCGCAACAGCGCAGCAAAATCGTACAAAAGTGATGAATAGTAACAGTGGCAGCATCAATCTGCTGCCTTCGATCAGTTGCTTCCTGGCACAACCTTGTGACTTTGTGCCTGCCTGGGCGCTGCATCAGCTGGTGGGCGATCTGATACGGAGAGGCAACGACGACCAACTCAAGTCCAACCCACACGCTTAAACAACAGGTTGGGGGCAGAGAGACGCCATGTCACATCGTCTCATGTCCAGCCTCTGCCGGCGTTGGCACTCTCTCCTCACTCGGCAGTTCCGAGCCACGGCCGTCATCGTAAGCAGCTTTCCGGTGAGCTCGGATGTCCTAGCTTCGGGGGTCAATGCTGGTGTTTTCAAGCTGCCCAATCGAAACCATTTATATCGGTCGTCACCATGCCTACCTCGGAACCTGCCATACTCATCCGGAACGTAGGAAGGAGCAAGCCGCTGAAACTGGTAGCGTCCTTCTCCATGGCCTCGCGGTCTTGCTCGAACCTGATTCGTCCGCAATCTTGCCGGAACATAAAACTTCAACGGACTGCTCAAAGACTTTTGACTCTAGGATGGGAACTGGTGATCCATTGACTTCAACGAAGCCAAGACCGCATCTTTGGGCTCTGCTGCCATTGCCTCGTCCTGCATGGCTATCTAACATAATCAAACGATTTTGAATCCGCCAACGTGTGCACTGCTCGCCTTCGTAATGCCCCGAACGTCCACCAGCGCCACTCGTGTCTCCGCAACTGACAGACGTTGCCCACGTCAGTGTGTGTGTGTGTGTGTGTGCGCCTCGGAACACCGAGAGCGTGCCTTGAAGCGTTCGAGGCTTTGTGGCGCAACTTGCCCAAACGGGGCTGTCGACACCATGGCACAAGATCCGAGCCATCCTACAAACTGACAATAGCGAGAATGCCGCTAGGTTGTCGATCCACGACACATGATCTGTACCTATGCTCCTTCGACTGAATTGATCTAACTGCCTTGAACTCTTTACTGGCTATCAGATCACACACCCATGTTCCAGCAACAACAGTTGCACAGAAGAAGGCACGTTGGCATGCACAGATGGCCAGGTTTGGTAGACTTGGGTGCGGCACGACCTGCAGAAGGTCGATTCTATCATGCTGACTTGGCGGTACCCGCGATATGCCTCAACACGACAGCTTTTCCAAAACAAAGTAGTGCCCGACTCGTGTACCAGGCCCAGTTGCATTCAGCAAACTTGTCGGCCAGCAGCGAGTCCTGCGTGTCGTACGGAAACTCTTGTCGGCAGACGCTGGGCCTTCTCTTGTCAAAGCTGCCTTCACCAACCATGCGTGAGATTTCAATAAGAGGTCGGTGGCTTCGGTGAACGCTGTGTGGGCAACCATGACCTGCCAAGACGGTCAGGTAACTCACTGTAGCTATTGATGGCACTCCTGTCGGATGCCTTCCGTTTCAAATGCTCGACCAAGAGCATCTGGTCAAGCCTCCGAGCCACGTTGTAGTTACCAAAGCAAAGCCGAAACTCTGTCGTGCTGCATCATGTGCCGACCTTTCTTGCCACAAGGGGGTGCCTTGGATCACGCCGTCCTCGCAAGGAGTCGGTTCGACAAAATACAGACGTATCAACTTAGACTGGATGGTCCTGCGGCTCGGCACCACTGTTGGGCAGACCGTTCATGGCATACAGCTTCTTCTCGGCCTTGTCTTTATCCCAACGTAAAGGGCTCAAAGGCAAAATTGACAGTCAGTGACCTGCATACGCTCACGGAACTCCGCGTCGTAGGCTTGCCAACCCCACGGTGAAATCTCCTGTAACAGCATCGAAGTTGCACAGAGCCGAAGCCGAGAACCGCATGAGTCCATGCCGTCCATGCCTATATGAAAGAACTTTAAACGAAAGACTGCACACCTGGGCGGGCCCCTTGGTTGTCCTCCTTCACAGCCGTCAACCATTTGCGCAGATCATTGAAAGTGGTGCGAGGGTCGTTCGGACCACCCTCCGAATAATCTAGCAACCTCAATTTGTCTCAGCATTCAACATCTGGTGCATAGCCTTGGTTCGACTATGCTTGCTAAATCTGAGTTGAGCGCCTGGACACCATGTGCTGGATCTCACCTCGAAACCTGCAATCAATCACATTCCACTTTCAACTCCCAGCTTTCATCCTGGGAACTTCCATCTCAAACGCCTTGCGCAGGCGTCTGCCGGAACCTTCTTCGATTGCTGAATTCACAATTATCGTGTGGTGTGTTTGCGACTTGTGCGGTTATGCTGTGAAGCAGTGTGTGTCTGTTCTTGATGTCGAATCTTAGAATATAGATCAGCCATGTGGCTGTGTGTGTGTGCATACTATGTTTTGCGCGGCTGCTGTCTCGGCTTTCACATGCAGTAGCTGCGAAAACAAGTGGTGCGGCAGCGGTCGCGTCAACCAACCATGTGCATGCTGCCGGACACACACTCAGTGCGACAAAATCTCGGGCGTCCTGCAATAATTACCTTCCGCGACAATGCGGCCTGCAATCTCTCATAGACAGAAGTGCGACAGTCTATTTTCACGTTCTTACTAAATCTAGCTCAATTCTTTGGTGAGCTTTTGCTTGCTTGGGGAAAAGACCGTGAAGCGTCGACTGCAGGCTGCAAGGGCCAATGTGGCGAGATTGCGCAGGTTCCCTGTCTCTCGCAAAGGGCTCACTGCCCAGCAGCGATTGCAAATGAATCGCACAGTATAGTATTCGCAATGCCATGACCTAAGGTGTCTTAGCAACCGGTGTCACGGCTGCGGGTTTGCGAGATGCGCCACATCATGACCATTGACTGCCCTCCAGCCATCTTTATCTGGAAAGCAGTGCTGACTTACAACAACGTCTTGCTTGCGAGCCGGTAGTTGATGCCCTGAGCCGCATGTTTTGTGTGAGACAAACGACTGCCGAGAATGCGACATCTCCATTCCCCAGCGACAGGGTTCTCGCTGAAAGACAAACTGGCTTGTGGCCTGTGTACGCAGTATCAGGGAAATCCTTCAAACCGCAAGCACAGCACATGCACCGTGCCCCGTTTGTGGAGTCAACTATCAAATGCTAAGCTCCTCAAGCCTGAAGCCCGTGCTGGCAGTACTGGAATGCAAGCATTGTCGGTCAAAGTTTCGCAAATGGCACGGTTTCCAGAACAACATTCTAAGGTCCTGCGTCCTGCCCTATATTTCACCCCGATAGGACAACTCCGGCGCAAACATCGAAACAGCAGGACACACAAAGCCAGCTTTGCAGGTCGCCGTGGCTCGGGAGAAAGCTCCTGTTCGTGCGGTGCGGAGACCGCCAGAGGGAAATCGACATGGATTGCGTGACTTCTTAGACTTACACGATTATGCAACCGCGTCAAAAAACCGAAGCAAATTGCGGTCACTTCGTTTTGCGCTGAGGTTTCTGTGTCCGTGCGGAGCGAGGCGCGCTCACAGGGAAACGGGAAGAGCATGCCGACGCGTTTCCCCCCATTGGGTCTGGAGGGCAAGTGACAACCATATTTTGTTGCAGAATACTGTGATTCCCAAGTGTGCCAGCATGATGACTAGTTGACTGTCGCTTTTAGATAATGTATAGTTGTGTACTGATTGCAGCGGATGGCTCAGGCCAAACACATGTTGCAGCAGCATGAAAGCATGCACGTCAGACAGGCAATATATGTAAAGGTACAGCAGCCTCAGATGTTTGGCGTGTGTGAGAAAACAATTCGATCATTCGCGATGGCTGTTGGCGCACCTTTTGC